GCCCAATGCTCTGCCAACTGAGCTACGCGGTCTGGTCGGTTCGAGTATGTGATATTTCGGAACAGAATCTAGCTCCTTCGAGTACCTACACTCAGAGTAACTTCACAAGCATCATATTCACCTGAGTACATTACACCAACACAGATAAAATCACAAGTATTATTTAGTTTATTAGTTCCTTCTTTTATAATGTATTTTCCGTACGGCGCTTTGAAAATCACCTATGTGAAAGGTTACCGTGTTTAAAGACCATTAATAATAATAATAATGGAAACTTTATTTAATTCATAATATACCATAGAACTATATTTACATTGATAAACCTCGCTCATAAAGATAGTTTATCGATGACGACTTGAAAAATATTTGTATTATATAAATTTACAAAAATAAGGACTTTAATATCGTTCAAAATATTAAAAGCTCTGGGCTAGTCCAATGTTTGTTTCGTTGACAGAATACATAATATGATGCGCCAATACAAGTAGCAATGATTTTCTTTTTAATGTTTTTAATACACCGATTAATAAAAAATTAATTGTGCACGGAAACGAGGCTTAATAGCCCTTGGCACAATTTAATATCCAAAATGGCGGCAGAAAATATTTGTGCTGATGTGCGACTAGACGATTTCACAGTCGAATTAAAACCAGAAGACATCCCTGGTGCTTCTGTTAATGACAAAGATATCGGAAAGTTAAATATTAATCAACTGAAATTCTGGCTAAAGTGTCGTAGGGTGAAACAGGGCGGGAATAAAAAGGAGCTTTTTGGAAGGTAAGCGTACTGCGTTCACACGTGATGATGATCGCTATGATCAGTATGATGATTGGGCAATGGTTGTGTTCGCACAATACATTTTGCTTGACTAGTACTCGCTTTTTAGTGTGTGCAATCTCAATGTTATGCCTTTGACCCTGATCCAAACAAAGCATTCACTAGGCTAAGCTAGCCAAACTCAGGGAAAACGGCATAAATTGTTCAAATGCGGAAGTGGAAAACGATGCTCCTGCCAGTTTGGGGAAGTTTCCTTCGGATGACAGTGCTTTCAACAAAGACTTCTCCATACTACCAGTATTTGTTCCAACAGATACCCTAGACCATACTCAAAAGTGCGGGAAGTCAACCAAAAAATCTGTTGATGGTGACGCTATTGCTGAGATGTCAAGTTCGAAAGGACTTCGAATGGTTTCATTTGTGCACGATATGGAAGTTAGCAGAGCTGGCGAAGGAGATGTTGTTTATCTTAGAGCTTTATGTTGGGCATCTTATAGAAAATGTGTCAAGTACAAAGTTCGAATGATTGTAAACCCACGAGGAAGTCCAAAAATCGTAGCAGCAGAGTGTGACAAAATTTGTCCTGCTGGACGAAGTGGATGTTGTTGCCATGTGATGGCTGTAATCTGGAAGTTAGATGAAATGTCCAGAAATAGCAAATTGCAAAAGCCTACACAGGATTATCGTGCATGTACTTCCAAACCTAGGAAGTGGGGTATCCCTGGTAGGAGAGAAGTAGAGCATGAAGCTGTGATGGCTTCTAAGCTTGTCAAGCCAAGACATATTTTAGATACACCTGGCAGAAAGAGGAGAGGTGTATTCCCTACCTTATTTGATCCACGCCCCAGCAAATATAGAAAGCTATCTCCAGAATCAGTTGAGAAATTTAGATATAATTTAAGTGCAACAAATCCAAGTATTCCTTTTGCTAAAATGACCCCTAATTCTAATGATATTATTCTTGTAGATTCTATAGTTGGTTTAACTCAATTCGATCCGCCAATATTAATTTCCGACGTATATGACGGGAAGATTAAATATTAAAGAACTTCGCGAGTATTTGCAGTAGACATACGAAAATACCACCAAAAAATTCCGCTTGATCGATACTATATATTCAGAAATATTCATATAATTTTATTGTTTCTTGCTCAATTTCAAGCGAATTTCTTACCTTGAAATGATCAATGCGGTGAAATTTATGCAAATGACACATTATCAATTTTGCTGTTGCATTTTGAATGTTCCGTCTGATTCAAATGCTCGTCTTTTTGCTTCTTTTCAATGTATAATAATAACAAATATACCAAAAGAATCGCCATCTTCCATTCTATAGCTCGGAGCAGTCTCGGGAAATTGCGAAATAATCTAAGCCTATTATGGCAATTCTCGTGATCGGAAAGTGTTCTGCCAACTTCGGACGCCAAATTCTTGGTAAAGCATTACAGTTTCCTGGTAAAAGACTGCAGGAATCACTTCCGGAGTGTTGGTTTACCCTAGATACGGATTTTGATTGGCTTAGGCAGAAAAACAAATCTTTTAGAGCAATTTTCCTGATTATCGCGCACGGGAACGCACGAGCGTTGAAATGTATTGTGTTGTAGTTTTGTTTGAATCGCATTCTGAAGACGTTTTTGGCTTTATTTTGCAACCTGATAGTGCTAGTAATGATGGAATGTCTTCGTATGAAGACAAGTATCTCAACCTGGCATTGGGAGTCGTGTCTGGAGTTTCAAGGCAAGTATTTGTATCATTTCTAGACACTTTCTATTTCAATGTTTTGCCGTTGCCATGGCGTTGTAAATTTATTTGTATTTAGTATAGCTTCACTAGTACGACCAAGTATGTCCTCATATCGCTTTTTTGTGTTGAAATAATCGTTTCATACTGAAATTGACAAATATAAATGGTATTTATTTATATTGTTGACGAAAATTTATGGTGTTTTAGGCATAAAAATCTCTGATTCCTAGGCTAAGTAAAATGAGCCTTGAGCACATGTTTGGTTGTTTGTTACATACATAATAGCCAAGTATTCATACTTATATCTTACTAGTTGGCTCTTATTATAATTTTAAGTGGCACCATGTCTATAAAAGTTTTTATTGGCACTGATGAATATATTGATCCTGTTCCTATCTGCTGTTCCTGTTTCATAGCCTCAGGGAAGTAGAGTTCTGATGAGTCATGAGAACCCCACTCACCAACCCAGAGGGAAGGTAGGGGGATGAGTAGAGGTAGAGGGAAGCCCAGCCATTAGGACCTAAGGTTTCGTAAGCTCCCTGTCTAGCATCCCCACTAGGCCCCATAGTACATGACGGATATGATGATCCTGACGCCAGGAATGTTCTCCCAGATTTTGCTCCTCACTGACATGTCCAGGATCCATTTCGATCAACTGTGAGCTTGAGTTCATTCGGCTCAATGAACTGTGAACTTGAGTTCATTCGACTCTTTTTTACTAAGGGAATGCTTTGAACAGGAGGTAGCTTCCTGGCCATACCAATACATATGCCCACATACAAATAACTCAAAAGTTATCCCCATATACTAATAAGGAAGGGTCTTGCAGTCCACCAACCTTGAGAGGTTGATTGCCTTTTAGTATATGCAGGATTGCTAAAGGTCGACAGTGAGATTGAAAATTATTGGAGTGTAAAAACCTTATATCATGGT